ATCATAGTGTTCTTTATTGTGAAATATGTAAAAGATGGAATTTCGTTTTTTTAGTGAGAAATAAAAAGAACTTTGTATGGCAATAATATAGGCCTAATGACAAGTGTGAAGAGTACTGGACGAAACCTGTATTTTGGACTAAACAGCGAGAATAGAAAATGTGGAATATAAATTTCATAGTGATCTTTCATATAATCAAGAAAATAAAGAAAGGAAGACCACATTACAAAAGTTTAAAATAATAAGTGCAAAAATTCCAACAATTCTTATGAAAAAAATGTCTGAAGATAAGCAGTGTCAAAGAAAAATGAGCCTTTGTTCTCATAGAGATAATTGCACATTGAGGATGTGTCACTCTTCTATTGGTGGAGGGGCTAAGGTCAAATGGTGATTACATCATAGGTTGGTACAAAACACGTCAATACATATAGGGATGGAAGCTTCTTTCAAGGTTTGTGGCATGCACTGAAATTTTTGTTGTAGTGCACATGGTAAAAACCGTTTGTTGTGAGGAGAAGTGATTGGCATTATGAAACCAATAATCCTAATATTTGTGATAAAAATCCCGTAAACTGCAGATGTGCTCTGATAGTAAATGAAATGGGTCTCCTGAAAAGCTACGTTTACACATCTCTTATTTGAAATCTGAAATGCACAAATTAATGGGAATGTGAAGAAAAAAAACATCAACAGTTTAAGTAATTTTTATCACGATTGATATGCCTCTTGGGTTTCAATGCTTCCCAGCTTTTGGCATTTAAACTGTTAAGTTTTAAAAAACCTTATATTGCATATATAAACAGGATGTCACATCAACTTTCCTATCTTATTTTTAAGCCCAGGTGATGAATTCTAGTATCAAATGAAAGGTCTACTAGGCAGTGACTTGTGTGAGACAAAATATATGTCTGGAATTCTCTTATTACATATGTGATTTGATATCCAAAATGAGAAAATTAAGAAGAATGTAAGTAAAAAAAAAAAGAATTCTGCACAATACTTGATTTTTATTAAAACCTCATTTTTATTTTAAATGTAGATATAAGTGGCATCAAAATAGAGCTAATTTCAAAATTGTCCCTAATTTATTGTTACTAGATTAAAATGCTGAATACCACAAACAGAATAAAATGCTGGAAACTGCAATTTTATTACACTGAAGTCTAAAGTAAGTATAATAGTTTAAATGAGGTTGAGATAACATATGAACTAATTAATTAGGTCAGAGACTCTTATGGTTGAGAAACAGACATCCCTAATTTTCAACTATTAAACAGAGAAAGGGCTGACAGTTAGCAGTACTACTACCACAAGGATTTTGTCTGAGTCTTTGAGTTTACTAACAGAACTGATTGTCTTTTATAAAGCTCCCACAGCTTTAAGTGTAATTACTGATGGAATCTTGGACTCTTCAAACTACAACATGGTATGCTACCAAGTCATGATGAGCACTGATATTAGGGGAAAAAGGCCTTGTTGGCAATTGTATATAGCAGATAATGTGGTTATCATACTGTTTAATTCTTCTTTTCTTATGAAAATTATTATTATTTATAAAAATAGTCTTTTATAACTTGTTAAAACATCAGTATAAATATATAATTGTCACAGAAATGCAAATGTCTTGAAATGAGTACAACTAACTGGTGTATTGATACTCATATGCTGATTTTCTGTAACTTTGAAATGTATTTATTGTTGAGGAAAAATACAACAAAAGCATCACTTAAATGTACTAAATCACCTTTTAAGATCTGTTGCAAGTCTGTTGTGTAGACTAAATAAAATCTTTAGGTGTTATATGTTAACAGTAAGTTAGTTCAAATACAAAACTGCTTGAAGAAACATGATTGAGCAAAAAAAAAAAGTATACATATTCAGAGCTATCTAACCAAATTGTTTATGTTCAAAACACATATAATTTTTTCCACAGACTGAGTGTAACAAGAATTATTTTGTTGTTTAGTCAATATTTAAAATCAAAGGCTGGTATATCAAATGAAAATAACAAATCTATACAGTAGAGCCAGACATTTTAACTGATTAATCGATATAATCAATTACTTATGAACAGTGATTATGTCAAAAGGTAATCAACATTATGATTAAACCAATTAACCAAAATTATTGTTTCAACTTATATTTTTTTACTATTCCAACAATCAATTAATCAAAATACACTAATTGTCTTAAAAAATCAACTAATCAAAGTTAGTGTATCTGGTTGATACTGTTTTCAATTATTCCAAAAACAGATTAATTAAAATTATGAATAAGTTCAACGGTCATACAAATCATCAAGTTATCAAAATATTGAAACCAAACTTGCTTACCCTGTCTTTGTTCATTGTTATGTCAAAGCTACTAATGCTATCTGTCACTAATTTTTAACTGTCAACTAGAGGGAAGGCAACAAGTTGGCAGCACCCACTGCCACAGATTATCAGTTAGCAAATATCACTAATCTACCCAGTTCTACTATGCAGTGATTCTCAATTCTACCAATTTATGTGTCAAAGTTTCTATATTTACTTGATTTTTGAACTCCTCCCATAGTTTTAGACAAAGCAATGTGAAATTTTGTAGGTGAGTTCAAGAAGATTTTGGGGGTTCTCAAGATAGCCACAGAGAGTTACATTAAAATTGGCATAGAAATTAGGGTGCATCGAATTTACTTAGTCAAAAATTCTATTTTGTAATTGCTAGTCAGCAGGGTGTGCAATAGTTGCCTTTTATTATAATAATTAATCTTATGCAGTATGAAACTCCTCCAATTATATCATCAACTACCATAAGTGAACCAAAGTTTGAACAAAAAAGTGTATCATTTCTCCACCAAATGAAATAGTTAATCATGAGGACTTAATGGTTTCAAGCTCAGAAGATTCTGATGTTCCTAAACTGCACTTTCTACATCGAAATCCCAAAATCGTAAAATAAATAAACAAATGAGGACACCACTTCCAACAGTAGTGAGAAAAGCTGACAGGTACTGTGTTTTGGATAGAGATGCTGCAGACCTTACCTCAGCTGTTTTGGTACATATGGGCATTATTAAAGAAAATGACAATGCTAAAATTGTCGATAAAAACAAGACATGACGTGAACGAGAAAAATACAGAGAAACATTATTGACTTCTGATGAATCAAATTGAATTAAATCTATCTACTTTGATGATAGAAGAGATATAGCAAAAATTGTCATTAAAAGTGGGCAAAAACATCATAAACGTGTTGTCTTGGAACAGCACATAACTTTGGTCAGTGAACCTGAATCAATTTTCATGGATCACTATTATCCTTCTTCCAGAACATCAGGAGGTATAAAAAATTCTATCATTCAGTGGTTTGAAGATAACAAATGTTCATCTGATCATTTAGTCACTGTAGACTGTGACAGCAAATATGTCAATATTGGAAACAAAGCTGGAGTTATGAGGCTTCTTGAATTGCATTTAGGAAGACCTGTTCATTGGTTAATTTGTTTGTTACATGCAAATGAGTTACTTCTGCATCATCTAATTATGCATCTTGATGGAGTAACTCTAGTATCATCCGCTTTTTCTAGTCCTCTTGGAAAGAAACTGAAGACTTGTGAATCATTGTCTTCATTAAACTTTGTTTCAGTTGAAATTACAGAGCCGTTAATAAAAATTGATCATCCTGAGGATCTTAGTACAGATAAAAAATATTTTTATGACATGTGCAACACGGTAGTGTCAGGTCACTGTTTAAGATAACTTGCTTTACATGACCCTGGTACAATGAACCATTCTCACTGGTTAACAACAGCAAACAGGATTTTGTGCCTTTATGTCACAACTGCTAACCCATCTAAGAAGCTTAATTTGCAAGTGAGATATGTAGTTCAAGTGTATGCAACAGTTAGGTTTAATATCAAGAAAAATCCCTCATGCAGCCATGGCTCACTGCACCTTTTTCTCCTTGTAAGAAAATCACATTTCCTTCCTGAATCAGAGAAATATGTGGTGGATAGAGTAATCCAGAGAAATGCATATTTTGCCCACCCAGAAAATTTGTTGCTTGCAATGCTTGGAGATGATTCTAAGGTTATCTGTCTTCATAGAATATTAGCTGCTCGATCTACCTCAAATTCTAGCACAATGAGACAGTTTGTGGTTCCAAATATTAATGTGGAAGTTCAACATTACACTGATCTAATAATGTGGTCTGAGAGTAGAGCCACCACTTACATGAAATATAAGCAATGAACAGTTGGTGTATTTCATTAATCAAGATGACACGCCAGTTTTCAAGTTCAGCATGCCGTGTCACACACACACAAGCAGTTGAAAGGCCTATTAAAATAATAACAGAAGCTTCAGCAGCTATTTCTGGCTATCACAGAAGAAAGGGATTCATTAAAGCAAAACTTCAGTCTTGCAAAATCATGAAAAAATTTAATACTAAGAAACAATATATAATCCAGTAATTCTATTGCCCAGTGGAAGAGTGGTTGGGTGAAACTTGACATGCAACTACCTCCTCATGGGGAGTTCTGGGTAATTTAGGATATAAAACTTATGGATTATGGATATCTTAAGGAAAATACACCCCCCCCTGCAGCAGTACAAGATATAATTTTAGAAGCCTGAAATATACCCACATAATTACTACTATTAAAAGGCACCAATCGCATATCCTGCCGATAATGATACAAAAAATTTATATTTTCGATGCATCCAAATGGACATGTAAATAATTGTCAAAGGAAGAGTCAAATTTTGGATTTTTGAAAAGTTTCAATTTTATCTCCTTCTGTAGAGATCAAGGAGGTTTGCGGGCTCTCAGGAGTGGCTACATGGATTTATTTAAAATTAACTAGAATATGTAAATGGTTATTGAAACAAGGTAAGTTCTTTTTGTTTCGTCTAAAGTTTCACAAGTATTGTACTAATGTTGTAATTCTCAACTGTACTTTTGTATATATATACATTGCTGTTTACTTAATTTTTTAGCTCCTCCCATTTTGCATGTAGGCTCTACAGCCACACAGAATGTGAATGATGATGAAAAGATATGAACAACTCATGACAGGAACTTGAAAAATGAGAAGTCAAAAGGTTTGAGGGCACTCAAAATTAGCTACACGGATTTACTTAAAAACTGATTAAAAAACGAGTAAAATGTTGTACACATATATACACGCACACACACACAAACAAACATAAAGTTGGGCCAACAGGGGATCAAATATGGCTCAGAAGACAGTACTAAGTTCCATTAGCTGTAAGCCTTTTAGAAAACACAAAATTATTTGAATAAAATATAAGTAGACATTTATTACCCTTGCCCCATAGGTGACAGTATTGTCGGTGTTTCCATGTGCACATCTTGAAAACTAATAGACCGATGTACACAAAAAATTTACACGGGATGGGAAGTCTGTATGGGACAGTCCTCCCCAAATCTGGGTTCTGAATCAGACTGAATCGTTTATAATGGGGAGATATAGTATTTTTGTGGTTTTGGATTGATAACTCTATAAAGTGGGATTAGGTTTGTACCAAATTTCATGGGCATATTAAGGTTGAGACTCCTCATCACACTACAATGATTGGGATTGTTGATAAATATGGATCTGAGTTTTCAAAGGTGAAATTTGATGTTATCAAATATAAATGCATGCAATCTCGAAAAGGAGCAGTGGAACGAGTGTATGCAATCTCTCTAATTGTTCATGTTTTTATACGTTTATATGCAGTAAATTTCAAAAAATCAATAACACCAAAAAATTACGTAAATCCTATCAGATCTTTTTATGTTTCTGTATATGAACACACAATGTTAATCCTAAATATAAGTTAAAATTGTTCTTTATTTTACCTTGAAATACTTCAAATACTACTTAGGTTATGGGTAAATTATAATATGATGCTTATATATCATTAACTCTTTTTCCTTTCAGGAAGACTGTGCTCCCACCTCTTTAGGAAGACTTTGTGCTCAAAGTTTATTTTACCCACTCACAAATCCTGAAATAAATCACTTTACACAAGCTCAAAGTGATAGTCCAAAAAAATAAAGCTAATATGGTGTATTCTTTGCTGATTCAAATAGCACCAAGGAAAATAATGAGTTAAAAAAACAACATAACTGATGTTATAAGATGTTGAATTTCATCATTACCTGAAGATATTTTCTTAATATTGTTGTTTACCATCATTATTATTATTATTATTACATAAATTAGAATACATTTTTACAGAACTACTTTCTGATGCTTTTATATTTAACTCTCTGTTTATAGAGTGAGCTAGTAACAATGGAACTTATTTTGATGATTTTGGAACATATTTTTGTCTATTATTTGCATTGTCCTTTAAATTGATTAATGTTTAATATGAATACCTATTCTAATTTACTGTATTTGTATAGCAAGGAAAATTACATTATCTTTCAGGGCTTGTCTAATTTCTGAAATGTGCTAAGGTTTGACCAGCTTTTGTTCCTTGCCAATAAGTTTAAGCAAAATATTTCTTTTTTAACTTTCTTTGTTAAACTGAAAATTGTAAAATGTAATTCTTTGGTTTAAGTTTCAAGGTTGACTTTTTTCTATTTGATATTATTAATTACAATCAGTAGTATCTATCACAGGCTTAAAAATATTTATCTAAAAATCAAAGTACTATACTCATTAGTGTAAAGATAACTCCAGATAATACTTAAAATCTGTAAGCTGAGTCTCCTATCTATGCCATAGATAATATGCTTCTTTCCATTTATCCTTAAGAAAGAGCTATAACATACTAAATCAATAAGACTTCAACTTCATAATTATACATATATTAGACAGGTGGCTCCAAATATTAGCAGTACTACATGTATAACTATAATGTTTGGTTTTTCTGGTTGACATACGAAACAGCTGTGCTTGTTTGAATATTAAAAGAATTATTCACTGATAGTTTTTACTTTTATTTAATACTTTTATCCCTGGATTCCTGGATTAAGAGCAAAAGAATTGACTGGCAAAAGAAACAGATGGTCATCCACAAGGCCAGACCCAACAAGGTAGTAGCAACAAGTTCAGTGAGTCAGGACACCCCTGAGACCTCAGGGCAAAGAAATGGAGCCCAAAAAAGATCACAGAGACAAGTATAAGGGAAGCACACAGTAGATAGGAAAGCATCCTGTTCTAACAGCAAAAGAACCAAGTAAGGAGAAATAGAGCAGAAGAAGTATGGGCTAATGTGGTGAAAAGTAGAGAACAAATCTCACCAAAAAATCCTTCCACAGCTCAATGAAGTGCCTCACAGATAAAGTGAAGTGATGAGAGGTAATGCAAGAGGGTGATAAGACAGAGATGTAGGCTCAAAAATTGGGCACTAGAACGGGGACTAAAAGTTAAGGGGTTCACTGGGAATCGAGAAATAAAAATGAAGAAGGCTGTAAGCCAAGACAAAGAGTCAAGTACATGAGAATGATGAGGCATATAAGTACACGTTTGTAGGTGTTTGAGAAACACATTTCCATGGACCCTCATTAAATGTGAAAAAAGGATGACAAAGTAGTATTGAGTATCATGGGTATGGGTTTAATTTAGTAAAGCAAGGGAGGAATCAAAAGACAAAGAAGAAAGAAAAGAACATACCTGCAAAAATCCTGTCAAAAAAAGAGATTAAAAGAGTGAGAGTTTTCTTCCACAGACAAAGCTATGACTTGAACAAATCCTGTGTGGAAGATAATCAGTCCATATCATCATCATCCTAATCATGAGCAAACTGGGAAGAAGGAACATCTACTGAATGAACTGGAGAAGGAGGCCAGTGTGCATGAAGGAACTCACAACACATTTATTAATGGCTGTTATATCCTCTACAAACAACCAGCCCCCCAAAAAAGAAACAAGTCCTATGTTAAGAACATCATCACTATCACAAAACATACAGAATTTTCCATCATTTGAAAATTCATAATGGGTAAGCAGGAAAAAAATATTATGAGTTCCTATTCTTTAATTATAAAAGAAATCAGCAAAATTTAAAGGAAATTTAAGTGTCATAAACTATCACAGATCTCATGCAACTGATTGTTAAGTTTAAAAACACATCTGTTCTACACAATGCAGAGGGAAAGAATAAAGTTATTTCAAACACAAGTGCAGAAGGGGCCTTACTGCATAAGGCTAGTGGAATGCAAATCGCATGGGCACACATGTGAGGGATCAAGATATTCTATGAATGGAAGTGAAGTATCATCTTGGAAGTAGGAAATACAGAAAGTAAAATAAGGATACACACTGTATAGAATATTAGTGGAAAGAAAGTTATAATTTTCTTATACTGAAAATATATTTCCAACAGGTACTTACTTCCACTCACATACGCAGCTATTCTCATTCAGTGCTACCCTCTATTTGCAACTTTTTTTCCCCATGCCCCAAGCCTCTCACTCCCAAATACCCTTCAGTTCACATGATTTAACTGAAGATTGCATGCAAGTTATCATGCGAAAAATCTCCACCAATAGATGTGCCCCCCCCACACACACACACACACGACTCATGTGACTCCCTCTATGCTATTCTACCTAGCTATCACCTTCAGTTTAGGCAGAAACCTAAGCACTGGTTGACAGTGGGAAGAAGGGGGGGGGGGAGTGTGAGCAGAAGTAAGTACCTGTCGGAAATATATTTTCAGTGTAGGAAAATTATAACTTCCAACTAGGTACCTTACTTCTGCTTATATACTTAGTTAGAATCCTACATTGAATAGGTGGAGGGACCAGTGAAGGGAGAAAGCAGAAACATCCTTCAAAAGCATCCAAAGGACACCCTCATGAGGGAACCCTCTAATGAAAAGTTTATATGTGGGAGATCACACCACTTCTGTACCAGGTATACTCTTTGCTCTAGATGTAAAAAAGGCGTGACAGATCCAGGCAGAAAATTGTGAGGAGCACATCCCAACGGGAGAGAAAATAATGGGACAATGATCATAACAACAATATATTATAGTTTCAACCTCCCTGATGAACAGTATGCAGGTGAAATACAAGATGTGCCCCAAGGTATAGAATGGTGAGAGCACGACTGACTGTATATGGCAAGTCAACTGCATCTAAAACTCGACTGCCAGGAACCATCATCTATGTGGGGGGTAGGATGAGGATCATACCGTCAGTAAGTCAACTACAATCCAAAACTCAACCACTGGGAACCGACATCCAAGCGGGAGTAGGAATAAGGATCATACCATCTTCACCTCAAGTTCAGCAGACTGGAGGGAGGAATCCCATCACCAATCTGTGAACAGGGCACTTGTGAACAGAATGAAATACATATATATTCCACTCAAATCAAACAGACCAAAACCACCTCAAATGCAATAATATCCTTAGCATAAAGACTTCAAGGGGTAGAGCAAGAAGAAGAAGCAGATTGTGATTGGTTCTGCTCTAAATCCGAAACTCAACCACCAGGAACCGACACATGCAGGGGTAGGATGGGGGATCCCAATCACACTATATGTGTGAGTGCATGATAATGCTCTCTACCTCCAAAACTCAACCACTAGGAACCAACATCCAAGTGGAAGTAGGATGAGGGATCCCAATTGCAGGGGTGAACTGCATTTATGCCAGCACACTCCATGTGTGAATACATCATGTCAATTGGTTCAGCTCTAAATCAAAAACTCAACAGCCAGTAACCAACATTCATGCAGGGGTAGGATGAGGGATTCCAATCACACAACATATGTAAGGAAATATGGTGACTGGTTCTGCTCTAAATTCAAAACTCAACTACCAGGAACCAACATCCATGTTAGAGTAGGATGAGGGATCCCAATCACACTATACATGTGAGGACATGATGAGAATTGGTTCAGCTCTAAATCCAAAACTCAACTGCCAGGAACAGACTTCCATGCCAGGGTCACTCCAAAGCTACATCATCTTCTTGGTGAAGCCAGTGCAGAGATGGGGCATCTTTTTGAAGGATATCCATCAACTACACCAGCAGAACACCACTGTCCTACTCTCAACTGAATGGAGTCATTATTGTTTATATTGTATATGTCTCATTCATGAGGATACCACCATGGTCTACACCCCAGCAGCTTGGAACTAAAAAGTGGTAAGGATTCTCTTACTCCATTGGAAGAAACAGGGGTAGAAAAACATGGTTGAGAGTCCAGAGGAACATTAAAACCGGAGACAGTGCATTGGGTAACCATGAAACCCTATTTGAAAAGCAGACCAAACTTAATTTATTCAATCTAATGAATGGCAGAGATGGGCAGCAATCCTCTTCCACTTTACCCATGAAGTCCATGGCATATTTATGAAGCAAAGATATTGTGTAGAATAACCTACGAATGATCATGTGGAACACCCCATCTCTAGGGATGGCAAAAATTGGGACGAGGAACAAAAATAGGGAATGATTGAGGCTTCATGCATAAAAAACTATCAACCAATGAGAAAAGAGTCAATTCCTCTCCCACAGATTCCACTCGGGATTCCAAAGTTGCTGGAAAATCTCCAAACACTAACTGATGAAGTAAAAGGCCGAGATGGAAGTCCCTAAGATAAGGAAATGGTAAACGAAAGTGGGACAAAACCGCATCTCTCCCCAAAAGATCCCAACAACAGAGGAACCATGTGCGTAAAAAAGAGCCGAGGTCAACAAACATGCCAAACATGTAATTAGAACAAGTATATCCCAAGAAAAACCCTCAGGATCTCAGTGGACCATCTCAGGGAGAGTAGATGTATGTAATATAGATCTGAGGGTAAGACAAAGGTGAGAAAATTGGGTTTGGGACAAAAGAACAGGACAATCAGGGTCCACCCTCCAAATGGATAAAATCAATTCCAGTTGCTGAGAATCAAGGAATGGAAAATCAACCTGGTGGTAGACTAAAGCAAACTGATCCGAAGGCTGCAGAGAGTGAGGTATGCCAGTGCTCTCACGTAACTAGATACAAAACGCTCAGCATAAACCCCAATATCAGGAGATGGTGGAAATTCAAAATACTGAAAAGAAGGAGTATCATGTAACAGGGAAGGTAAAGGAACATAGGAAATTGGGGAGAGGGATAAAACAAAACATACTTGGGAAATAATGTCTAAAAAAGCCATATTAGGCCTAACATAAACCACAGAAGGAACTTGAGAAGACACGGCAAATTGACATGAAGGTAAAAGGATATCAAATGCTTCGTCACCCGAATAGGTTTGGCTTGTTCAGGAGGAAGT